ACGCCGCAGAATTAGAAAGTGATGTAAAGGAAGATGGAGAAACTACCTATGCGAAGGAAAGTCTAGGGACAACACCATCGGAGACTAAACTTCTTGGATTAGGCTGGAACAAATCAGAAGACACTTTGTCAGTGACATTTCCACCAAACGAAAATGAAGTTACGAAAAGAATCGTCCTGAGAACTATGGCGAAAATCTATGATCCGCTGGGATTAGCAGCTCCTATTCTACTCACGGCCAAAGTGATCTTTCGAGATATCTGTGATTCTAAGTTGGGATGGGATGCAGATCTACCTGACGAGCTAAAGCGGCGATGGGAGAAATGGTTGAAGAATTTACCTGTCCAGTTGAAGATGCCACGAGCAATACCTAGAGAAATCGGTGTGATTGTCGAATTGATTCTTCATGGATTCGCAGATGCGAGCCTTCTTGGTTGTTGCGCTGTGATCTACGCTATTATCAAGCAAGCTGGAGTGATTAGTCAAGGGTTCCTGATTTCGAAAACAAGATTGGCCAAACGGGACTTGACTATTCCGCGCCTGGAGTTAGTGAGTTGCCAAATGCTAAGTAACCTCCTACACAACACATTCAAAGTTCTTAGTCATATACAAATTGCCGGTGTATTCGCATGGTCTGATTCTACTGTCTGTCTTCAATGGATCCAAGGTCAGGGAAGATATAAACAATTCGTGGCCAATCGGGTAGAGAAAATAAACGAGAAGGAAGAAATCGTTTGGAAATACGTGCCTAGTAAAGAGAATCCTGCGGATATCGGTAGTCGGGGATCAAGTGACTTAGAAACTAACGAAATGTGGATGAGCGGTCCTTCATGGCTGAACAATTCCGACAGCTGGCCGGAACAGATTGTTGCTAAACCTTCTGATGTGTCGGAGTCCGAAAGTCGCACAATCAAGACCGTGATGAAAGCTGCTGTTCAAAGAAAATCAGATGTCTTTGACGACCTTTTAGCGAAAACAACCCTATGGAAAACTGTGCGGATTTTAGCATGGATCAAAAGATTTGCCGTCAATTGTCGAAGAGGTAAACGAATTAGCGGACCACTAACGACTGAAGAGACTGACGAGCAATTGAAATTTCTGATTAAACGAGCTCAAGAGGACGGTGAAAATTCCGCTCAATTCAAAGAACATTCTCAACGATTGAATCTCCAGAAAAATGAAGAAGGCATTTACGTGTGTAAGGGGAGAATTCAAGGGTTTTATCCGATTTACTTGCCATCAAATCACCTCCTATCTCTGAAGATTGTCGAACGTGCACATCTTTACACTCTTCACGGCGGGGTTGGGTTAACCATGAGTAAAGTACGCGACGATTATTGGATCCCTACATTGCGAAGTCTTGTGAAGAAAGTCATTGGTAAATGCTATGGGTGTAAACGATTTTACACAACGCCGATGCCCGCTCCACCTCAGGGGAATCTTCCAAAAGAACGAACTGAAGGTGAAATCCCCTTCGAAGTAACTGGTGTCGATTATGCCGGACCAATCTATTACAAGGGAAATGGGGGAGCTGAGCGTAAGTCGTATATACTCATCTATACCTGCAGTTTAACTAGAGGACTTCACTTGGAGATTCTGCCAAACATGAGCTGTGAAGAGTTCCTGATGAGTTTTAAAAGATTTATCTAAGCAAGAGGTCGTCCGAAGAAGATCATATCCGATAATGGAAAGACTTTCGTGGCTGCTGCCAAATGGATCAAGAAAGTCGTACTGAACGAAAAGTTACAAGGCTATCTGAGTGAACATGGTGTGAAATGGCAGTTCAATCTAAGCAAAGCTAGCTGGTGGGGTGGAATGTTCGAACGAATGGTCAGCATAGTGAAACAAGCTCTTTACAAGGTCGTAGGATCGGCCAAACTTACCTTCAAAGAATTGCAAGACGTGATGCTAGATATCCAGCTCGTATTGAACAATCGACCACTATCGTACTGCGAGGATGACATTCAACTTCCCGTGTTGACGCCGAACATGATGATCTTCGGTAAAGCCAATTATCTTATGGAGTTATCACCTGAGGATATAGAAGAACGAGACCTGCGAAAAAGGGCGAGATATTTGAAGAAATGTAAGGACGCGTTATGGCAACGATGGAAACGAGAATACATGAGAGCACTTCGCGAAAGGCATAATTTAACACATGACGGGAAAGAGAGAGAGCTACGAAAGGGTGATGTTATGTTAATCAAAGGTGATGAAAATTGGGATTGTTGAACAACTTATACCCGGAAGAGACGGAGTGGTTCGTGGAGTTAGACTACGTGCAGGAAAATCATTCATGGAAAGACCAATACAATTTCTTTACCCTTTGGAATTGCATTGTGATAGAGAAAGTAATCAAGAAACTGTTCCATTGAATCCTGTTGCAAAGGAGTTCAAACCGAAGCGTAGAGCGGCTGTCGATGCAAGGAAGAACATTGAACTAATTTATGATCAGGAAGAGGAAGAACTGTGATGGGTAGAGACGGTGAATACGTGTAGACGTTCGTGTGTATATAAGACAGATAAGTTATATTTAAAACTTACGTTCTAAATAGGGGGAGTGTGTCGGGGAAAAAGTTGACATTAATAATTAGTAGTTAAATTTAGAGATGAGGTGACTGCCATATATGGAATTGATTGACAGGCATGAGATAAAAGGAATGTTGTTAATTGTTATTGCATGGGAATATATGTAACTGGGAGCGATTTGGGAAGGGATTATAATACAAAACACAAGATAAACGCGTAATTTTGCTCTTATTGTGGGGATCGAACGAAAATCTACCACATTCTAATGCATTAATTCCCCCCTCCCTCCCCCGGGAAATGTGTAAGTCAAACTGCCCTCCCCCTGGAGCTTAGAATAAAGTAGTTCATAATATAAATAGCATACAAGCAATTGAAAATTCAGGGTGTTAGCTAGCCCATATACTGTCCGTTTGACGGATTCTTCCCAATTGAAGTAGCTAAGGGGCTTTCCCAACCGAGTCTACTGGAAGATTTTCATTTTTTCTGATGAGAAAGTGCATTGCATTTGATTTTATATTGTTATATCAAAGAACATTTTGTTTACTTTTTCCATTAACTACTCAAAATGTATCGCGTTTCATTCATATTGGGTGTGTATTCACTGAAATGAAATGCACAAAACAAAGTGTCATCGGTGTGCATCCGTGTTCATTCACCGGAAATGAAATAGAAAAAGCTAAGCCACTGTTGTTTGCATCTAAGAAGAAACACGTTGGAAAAACACTATTTATTCCTGCACAAGGACTTTGATCGGTCAAAAAAAGTTTTCCCAATTTACATTTAACGGACAAAACCTTTTTTCTGGCTAACACCCTGAAATTATCATACAAACTGGGGTATCACAATGGCACTCATGTATTCTGTATTTATTTATTCCAATTTTAGCAAGACCACTACAAAATATCATAGATTATAAGTTGGCGATCGATATTTTTCTCTGTGAGCCTGCGATTTTGAGTACGCACCAATTGTTCACTTCATTTATAAAATTCAAATTGTCACGCCAAAGTTCCCTACTTCCCCTCCCCCCGTCGTCCTATTATTGCGAAGTTTGTAATTTCCCCGGGGTTCACGGGCAGAATACACGGATAAAATACCAAATTCCCCCTCGTTTCCCCCCGGTTGTCCCGGGGGTGTACCCCCCGGGCAGGCCGTTGATATGTGCATAATTCGTAAGAATATTGCCCGCAGGGGCGCACATTCAAAAAAAATTTGGGGGGGTGTCCTATTTTCCGGGACCGACTTTTGTAGTATTTGTGTTTGATAAGAAAAGCCAACTATTTTAAGGTGTGCACAGTACTCGTGAACGGTGAACCGGTGAAAGTTCGGTTTAATTAATGTCACAGTCTTGTTATAAATACAATTAATATAAAACTTAAGAGTTGCATGGACGTATGGTACAGGGCCGTAGGAAACTCTTTTCGATTTGGGGGGGGGGGAGGCTGAAAGCGAGGGCCGAGGCCCGAGGAAATTTTTAAATTTAGAGTCTCTGCAATGCCATTTCCTGGACTTTGGGGAAGATTTAACAGAATTCTGATAGTCAGAAAAAAGCGTTTTAGCATGTCGAAATTTACAATTTATAGTAGTACTAAATGGCCGAAAGCGTATTTAATTAACTATTATATGTTGAATAAGTTGCAGGAAAGTGTGGGTAATACCATGGATTGTAAAATAACATGTACTTTATTATCCATGGTAATATCTTCATTCTTTGCAGTTTGTCACAGATTAAATGATAAAGGTCGGCATGACATGCGACGACCCTGTGGTTATTGCACAAAGTCGAGTAACTATGTAAAAAGTAGCATACAGGGGTGTCAAAAAGTAGACCGTTAGAAATTAACCTGTTGTTCTAAATGGAATTTATAGCCAGTATATTAGTATTATTAAAGAATAGTACATTATTAAAGTCAAGAGCTCAAATATAGACAATAATGGTTCAAAATAAATCTATAGTGCGTGCCCACATGATATTCAACTAAGAGTATTAAATATCTGACAACTCAAATTGCTTAGAAAGTTATAGCAATTAGCAATAGATTTCAGCCAATCAAATCAGTTTTTAAATAGTTCACCTGCACAGCTTATTTGATCGAAAAATGACAATCGGAATTACTTCACACAAATAAGGCGCTCTGTTTTGGCAGATCGGCCCAACGATCAACAACAGTGTCTGGGTCCATTATATTGTATCCGTGAGATCCTTTTCATATCCAAGAGTGATTAGATCCCTTAGACTTTTTTCTTTCATCACTGAACGAATGGCAGTCTTAATCAATTTAAGCTTCAAACTCGAAAAGCTGCGTGTTCACTCGATGCGGATGTAATCGGTTATCTAAATGTGTATAAATGCTATACACTGCCACATACCTCGGTAACCTCTCTTCGATTTATTAGAACGTAGACTCCTCCAAAATTGCGGATGGACTCATAGACAGGGATAGAATTCCAAGAGTTTAAATAAACGTTTAGTTTTTCAGAACTTCTGCTCTAAACTTTCGGGGGGCCAAAATTTTTTATGGATTTTGAGTGCGAGCGCCGAAGGCGCGAGAAAAATTTTGAATTTCTAGGTTCATTAGAACACTATTTCACGTATTTTAGGACGAGGTTGGAAGAAAAGTTACAACCACAAAAAGTCGCCTAATTTTGTTAGATTCCATTTCCAAAATGTCCACCTATTTCTTTTTTCGACACAAAATGATGTCTTTCAGATTTTAGCCGGACCGACTTTTTTTCGTCCCATACAAGTTTCGGGACCGACTTTTTAGATATATTTCACAAAACATGGGGGTGTCACCCCCACCCCC